AAAATTATTAGAAACAGGACAGCCACCACATAAACACACAGACGGGACAGGACAGTCAAACAGGGGAATATCCGAGGTAAAAAACATTTTACCTCAATTCCAGGCTTATCTGTCAACTCCTCAGCACCTGGTTTTTACTTCATGCTTACGTCCTTTTTTTTTAATAGTGATCCCTGGATCTCAAAACTTCTGTCACATACCTCATGAATCTTATCCAGACCCTTTTTAGGTAAGCCTACCATGTAAGACTTTGGAATTTTACCATTTCTTTCAAAATGTTTTTCATATCCCTGTAGTAAATATAGAGTAGGCAGGCAGTGAAATGAAATGTATGTTTGGCATTGAAATGACTGGTACAAGATTTGGTGCGGATTTTGACATTACTGTTTATGATACTCGGCTAATAAAATTTGATATATTATTATTATTTAACATTCGATTTTCACTTTGTCAGACATTGTTAGTCGTGGTTAGAAAAAACACGTAATATGAAACTATCAATATCAAAAGTAATATTTTTGATACGCCGTAAGGTGATGTAGAAAAATCACGAAGACAATGAACAAAATAATGTATTGCGAACATGAGTTTGCATATAATTTATGAATTTACCCCTCTTTCTTTTTCTTTTGTTTAAGAAAGAAATCCAGCTCCTAGAATCAAACCTGACTAGAGTGGATTAAGTCTAAGACCAATTAGGGGAACTTTTACTTTTGAAAGCCCAATGTGGTACGTTTCCTAGGTCTTCCATGTAACAACAACTCTATACAATTCAACTCCTTTCTCATGTTGTAAGACTGAAATCTCACAATTCTCAAATTCACCTCTTTTAAAACATGTCTCTCTTCAATATCTGCCTTTTCGTACCCAATAATTATTTCATTTTCCTTGTCATTGTTGTTTTATACACAATAAAAGTATAAAAGAGGTAGGCCGTATTTCCTTTTGTATCCTAATTTTTTTTTTTTTTTTTGATGATGTTGTAGACCAAAACAATTTTTTTTAGGACCATTCATGGTGTAATTTTCAAGGGGGAATTAAAAGCCTTTGTCACCCACCTCTGATTTGAGGTCTTCAATCTTCATGATTGCCCCGAAAGTTGCAGCATCACAGTCGCTTATTATTTTACCCCTCCTATGCCCCATACCTAACCCTTTAAAGTACTACTGCCTAGCCCCACTGCTTACACAGTAAATTAGATGAATACAAGATAATTGCACAGCGTCCACCAACCATCATCAAAAGCATCATAAGACCCCAAATACAGTATAAAAATGGAAAAAATGAAAAAAAAAAAAATTCCTCATTTATCATGCGCTATACATTTTTTTTAAATTACATAACCGATGTTGGAATTGATCAGGCCACTATCCAAAATTAAGCATCTTTCCTAAATATTATTTGAGCAAATGATACAAATAGTAAAAAGTTATAATGAAATTAGATAGTGACAAATGAAAAGACAAATTCACTACACATTTACTAAACATGTTTATTTATTAATTAAGGGTAAAAATATAATTTTGAGGAGAAAATAAAACTTCAATGAGAAAATAACAAAAAACTAAGGCCATGATTAGGCCACATCAATCACTATTTTTCGTCACTATTTTTATTCACTATATATATCATTTTTCATATTATTTTAACTACTCCGATATGGTTATGTTAAGTATTGGACCGGCAAATAATATTAAGCTCCTAAGTACACCTTGCAAGGTGTACCTAGCAGTGCGTGTATATCACCCAAAACAAAAAAATGGGGCATTTTATCCTGATTTTTATGTTTTCACGCGCATCATTCAATCCCGCATTTAATCACCTAATTTTATCCTTTTTTTTGGCATTTTATCCTCTTTTTTTTGGCATTTCATCCCTTGATTTTATCCCCTTTTTTTAACACACGTTTAATTTTAAATCTTTTTTTTTTACTTATCATGTTAGCTTTTATATTATTTTATTTTATGAGATAATTTTTTTTATAACGATGGATTTTATTTTGGTAAAATTGACTATGGTGAATCATTGAGACTTATGAATATGGAGAATCAATGTGTATTTTCTCAGTAATGAATAACCGACGTTTAGACAATGAATAATGTTATGCAATTATTGAAAGATGAACGATGTAGAATGTATTCGTTTTATTGGTGAATATACATGCGTAAGGTGATGCGTAATATATGATTACTGATGAACATGAATTCATTGTTGTTTTTTGGCAGATGGTGTATCATCTTGTTAAGATTTTACGATAAGTATCTTATTTTGAGTAATGAATAACAAGTTGTTATTGATGAATAACATATATTGTGCTTATTGGACGATGTTTCAACTCTGAGGAAGAGGCTTTTGCTACTTATAATATCAACATTATGGACGAATAAATTTAAATTTTATAACGAATGACGATATTCACAAAGATGAATAACGATGCAAACCTGATGAATAATGATCTCATCTTAAATGAATAACAATATTGCAATCAAGAATAGTTGTAGTTTTACAAGATGAACAATTGTACTTTAATGAATGAATAATATACGTTACTAGATGAATAACTTTGATAACAAAAATATATATTACAATGGGTTAATATTAGCAACTAAACTAACAAACTTCTAATTATGTATTATACTAGATAAAAAATAAACAAAAAAACTAGTCATTGTTTTTAATATATAAGGTCTTGAAGGATTTGCCGATGTTCGATACACGTTTATATTGATTGTTTGATTTCAGCAAGTCTGGCAAAATATTTAATTCCCGGCCGATCGACTTTATCTTGATCAGTATTTCTTTGTTGCTGATCAAACAAAAAGAACATTATAATAAGTGAGATTTCACATTCAATCAAAACTCTGTAAATCATCAATAACAATAATATTGAAGATGAATAATCATTATTGGATGATTTTTTAATTGTGTTAATTAATATCAATGTATCAGATGTATCACAAAATTAATGAACAACTTTTTATGAATTAATAAATAACTGTACATAGATGATGAATACACATTTTGACAATGACAAGATATCATGTACTTTTTTCAGATTATAAAATTGAAAAAGTAATAATCATTGTCGATCCAATGAATATCATCCCTTCACGGATGAATAGCACAACAAAACAATATAATAAATACCAAACACTAATCTGATGAAGAAAATTAATGGATGCATAATACATAGTTATGATAAACGATAAATCTGACAATTTCAATAATGAATAGTTATACAAAACTGATGAATAATTATACATATCTAATGCATAGTACATAACTGGTTTTATGTTCTGTTCCTTGCCGACCCAATGAATAACATCCATTTGCGGACGAATATCCAAAAAAAAAAAAAAACACAATCTGATGAATACTAAATACCAAACTGATGAAGAAAATTAACGAATGGATAATATATATTTATGGTCAATGATGGATCTGACAATGTTAACAATGAATAACCATACTAGACTGATGAATAATATTCAGATCTACTAATTTACCAAACTGATGAATAATTATACCCAACTGATGAATAATACAAAGATCTAGTGATTTATCAAAAAAACAATCCTAAATAGTTATGGTAAACGATGAATTCGACAATTTCAACAATGAATAATTATACCAAACTGATGAATAATATAAAGATCTACTAATTTACCAAAAAAAAAACTACATAATTATGGTAAGCAATGAATCTGACAATTTCAACAATGAATAATTATACTAACCAGATGAATAATACACAAATCTACCAATTTACCAGAAAAACAACATCCAATCGAAAAACAAAACTCTAAAATTGATGAGCAATCATCATCAACCGAGTGAATATAACTTACATCTATGCACAAAACTAAAAATTAATGAACAAACATCTCAAATCGAGTGAAAATACCTTAGATCTACATAACCCAACCGTGAAAACACATCGATTCTTGAAGAGAATAGTAGTATTACCTCACTTCTTCTTCATCTTTCGATGTGCTCATACTCGGTTCAGATTCCTCAATCGCAGGCTTCTATATGAATATTTCAGAAAACAAAAACGACATTATTAGAACTTGATAGATGCAATAAACACACAAAATCGATGAATTAGACCATATATTACCTTAAATCTCAGTCGGAGTAGAGTATATCGCAACCCAAATCGCTGGATTTGTTGCACAATATGATTTTCTCTTCGAAAGTACCACATCGGGGAGCTTTTTGTTGCCGTATCGCTTCGGGAATAGATATTTGTTTTTTCTGAAATTTTGGTTTGAGACGTACTGGATTGAATCGAAAAGAAAGTTGGATAGGGTTAATGGAAATTAGGAGCAAACAGCGGTTACCGTGATTTAAAAAATCAAAAAGTCGCACATAATGGGGGTATTAATGGGCGCGTGTAAACACTCGGATGACATTGTTGTAAATATTAGGAATTTCCCTTTTTTTGGTCACGTGAGTTTCACCCTAGATACACTTTGCTAGGAGTCCTTAGGATCCCTATATTATAATTGGTATTGGACGTTGTCATACTTTATATATTTATGTGTTTTAGACTAAACTTGTTTATACTTTGATTAGAGCCCATAGACTAGTAGTTAGCACTTTCAATACATTTAAAGTGAACCACTATCCCATGTAGTAGTCAAGCCCATTAAAGACACTAGTGAAAGATCACAAGTTCCAATTTCAGAGAATAATAGTTACTTCCTCCATTCTAAAATAATTGTCATTCTACACTTTATACATAGTTTAAGAAACTCTTAATTAAAGTAATAAAATTACTTAAATATCCTCACTAACCTCATTAAAAAAATGTGCACTAATAGTATTAATTTCTTTAAGGATAATTTTGAAAATTTTGAACAAAAAGTGCATTGAAATGTGAGGACGACACTAATTTTGAAATTTTTTCATTTTGCTAAAACCAAACTTATTTTGAAACGGAGAGAGTAACAAATTTAGAACATCATCGTAAAATCACCAGTTCGAGTCCTACTCTCTCAGAAACTAATAGTTAGCGCATTCAGAACTTTAATAGGAGATCACGAGTTCAAAAGTTCAAATCCTATTATTTCACATACTAGTAGTTAGCAAATTCAGAACATCATCATAGTATTAAAAGTTTGAGTCGTAGCACAATTAGAACTTTAATAAGAGATCACAAGTTCGAATCTTATCCATCACAATTCACAAATTACAATTACCCCACCCTCTCCCCTCAAAAAATAAAGTCAAAAGAATCGAAATCATAACCAGCTAGACTTTGGGAATTAAAGGCTATATATATACAAACTCTATAAAAGTACTGTAATGAACATATGTACCACATTTCTTATGTGAATTATTTATTTCGAGTATCTAACAGAGGTTACATAATATCATAATAGCACTAACAGTTTCAGTACCCTAATAATTATATAATAAAGTAAAAGGCAATGGTACATTAGCAGCATTAGCCCCTTGCAATATTCTACAGACCCCTCGTTTTTCTTTTTTCTTTTTTTTTTCTCCCCTGCAGATTATAGTACTAAAACTCAAATCAAAATGCCCACCTCTCCTACTCCTCCTCCTCTCCTCCAGACAGGGCCACATGTATAGCACATCAAGATTGTCCAGATTGAAGGGGGCCATCAACATTTAACCCCATGTGCAATCTCACCAGAAACCAAACTGAAATCTCATCAGAAAATTCAGAATCCATCCCTCCATTTTTTTTTAATTTTTAATTTTTTCTTTACATTACAGAACATGCATTTGGATTTTCATCACTGAACATCTGAGGAGGATATGATGGATACCCATATGATTCATGAACATACCCATGGTGATTGAGTTGTTGGAAATTTTGTGGGGGATAGTTGTAGTAATAGTATAGCTCATTCTTCTTCATTTCCAATTTCGCATTGTCCTCTGCTTCTCCACCTTGATCTCCTCCTCCTCCTCCGGCTGCCTGGTCTTGCTTTCCTTCCCCGGCCGCAGCAGGGGCGCTACCATCGCCGCCACCGCCTTCCTTGCTCTCCGCTTTGCCGCCATCCTTATCGCCGTCTTTTTTCGCATCCTTTTCGCCGTCTTTCTTATCATCCTTTGCTTCTTCTTTGGGTTTGTCATCCTCTTTCTTCTCTGGTTCCACCTTCACAATGCCAGCATGCTTACCAGTTCTTTTGTAGATGAAATCAACCAACTGGGGTGGCTGGATTACTCCTTTTACCGTCACTTCCGAGCTCTTAAGATCCGGCTCAGCAGATTCAACTCCTGGATTTGGAAGAATTCCCAATGAGATCAAATTGTCATCGACATTTTTAATTGGTAACATTAATATGATATATACAAGTCTAAAAAGTCCAAGATTCTACAAGTTGTTAATTAAATACGACTGACTATTTGTGCCAATTAATATTTGTTATTAACAGACGAATAAAAAGGTACTAAAAGGACTATGAATTGACTTGAACAACGGGAAAGGGAATCCAACGAAATCTCAACTACTTTTAAATACTTTATTATTAAGAATGTTGCGATCTCAACAAAGTTTGAGAATATTTTTTTGGAACCTAAAATAATAGTTTAATAAGTACTAATTAAGAATCCCAATATGTATATTCTAACTAATAGTTTTGGAGATTCAAAGAAGAGATGGAATTTCTGCACTGCTTTTATTTTTGGCTAATGCAGCTGAAAAGGGTAAAAGAAAATGAGGTGAATGACACTACCATATGAGTCCACTTTCCTAATAAAGCTGAAAAGTGTCATGACAAAAAGCATAATTGAAATTGCATTTTTCGTCTTGAATTAAAAAAAAAAAAAAGGCAATTAGCACCGAAATTCATGAACCAAAAATCATGCTAAGTTATACAAAAATACAAAAGGAAAAATACCAAAAAAAAAAAAACTAAATAAATAAATTAAAAAAACCACCTTTTATTTTCAGTATGCGCCTCTTGATTTCTTGAGCACAAGCTTCACAATGCATGTGGACTTTCAAAACAACTGTAATTACTTGGGGCTGAATTGGAAGGAACAAAAAAAAGAAAAAAAAAATTTAATAAATGAATGAGAGAGATTAAAAAACAAACTGAAATAAAATGGGTTAAATAATTAAAATAAAATAAACCTCTTCTTTTTTCTCTTCAGGCTTAACGGCTTCTTTCTCTTCAACCTTCTTGGGTTCCTCCGGCGACGGAGGTTTCGGAATCGGAGAAATAAGCTCAACTTGACGGTGGCTCTTCCTCTGAACCCTTTCTAACACCTTAAGTGGGTCCGCCTTTTCGCCTTTCACCACCACTTTGCTCGTCTTGCAGTCCGTCACTACTTCTTCCACTCCTACAAACAAATTAAAAAAAAAATAAAATGAAATTCACAAATTAAAACATTTTCACAAAAAAAAAAAAATTAAACTCAGATATCATTAATTATAAACACAAAAAAAAAAAAAAAAATCAAATAATATACCATCAAACCCTTTGAGGCTCCGGCGAACTTTACGAGCACATCCTTCACAATGCATGAAGACTTTCAGGATAATTTCTTGCGGCGGAGGAGGTGGAGCCGGAGCCTCCGCCGCAGCGTCAGCAGCTGGCGGTGGGCTCTCCTTGGATTCCTCCGCCGCCTTCTTTTCGTCGGCTTTTGGTGGTTCTTCCGTCTTCTTTTCTGCCTCAACTTCTTTCTTAGCCTCCTCGGGCTTTTTCTCCTCCGGTTTCTTCTCTTCCTAAATTAAAAAAAAAAAAAACGCAAAACAATTTTTTTCAATTACATATGCACGCTAAAAATTAAGAAATTGTATGTGAAATGAGAATGAATACCTCTCCCATTTGGGATAGTTTTTCCGGTGATCGGAAAATGAATAAAATGGTAATGAAATGAAATGAAATTGAAGGGGAAGAAGAAGAAGAAGGTGATGAGGTGATAAGCTTATGTGGTGTGACTCACAGCCCACACAGAAAAACACACAGTCACACACAAAACGAACTCTCTTTCTCTTTCTCTTTCTCTCTCTTTTTCTTTCTCTCAGTTCTTAATTTGCGTTCTCTCTCATCACTCACTCTCAGGCTTTTATGTCTGCAATTTTCTTATTTATTTACTCCGTCAGTCCTCCCACTTAAATTGTCATTTTGCATAATTCTTACTGCGCGGTCAAGCTTTATATTTAATTTTTTGATCTTTTGTTTTTGGCTTTTTCTTCTTTTCTGGGATCTCTTGATTTAAGCTCCGTGCAATTATTGTTTATTTAAAATATATATTATTTTAATATATTTTCCCGGGGAAAAAATTATCCTCAATACTTTTTTTTATGTCATTTCTTATATAATTAATAATTATTAATCGAAGTAGCATACACATTTATAGTTAAATTAATTAATTTAAATTTTATTGATATATTTTTCTCATATTTAGGAGTATAAATCTCATATTATATTAAAATATAGTTTTGAAAATAACATATGACCCGTGGTAAAATATATGAAAATTAATGAAATCGCAAAAAAATTACTGGTGAATTAAATATTATAGTTAAAAAATCGTTACTATTACCTTTTTAATTATCATAAATTGATTATTTTCTTTTTACAGTTAAACTGGTGTTACCTAATGATATAAATACAAATTAGAATTAAATTTAGTTGAAATTTGAGTTTTATGTATAAAATCAAAGGGAGTAAATTTTAAGCGTCTAATAAAATTAAATTATGCCCATACATCAAGCAAAACTAAACACAAAATGTCTTTGTCAGAATAATCTTTGAGACGTGAAAAGTAGTAGTAATTAATTAAAAAATGATATACTATAAAATTCAAAGCAATTCAGTAGCGTAAAAGCTAGATTAACCATCACAATCAATTTAGGCAATGCAAAAGTAATTCACAATCCTCCAGAGCAAAAAATTACTCCTGCCTCATCGCTTAATTTAATTATTTATATCTTGTCTATTTTACTTTTTCATTTTCATATATTTTAGCTTATCGTAATACAAATCTAAATATGGAATGATTCTGCTTTTGAAAAATTAACTAAAATGGCAGTCAAAAAGTAATTAATTAAAAATCTATCCGTACCATCGGTATTTAAAAAAATGAATTCCCTTGACCAGAAGAGTACAGAAAATTTTAAATAACGTTTTACCACTTTTAAAAGGCCGAAACAAATAGTAATAATTTATTTTTATTTTTAAAGAAAAAAACACGAATTTCTAAAACCGGGAAAAACTGAAAGGTATGGAGCGAAGATGGTGACGAGATAGCCCCCAGATCTAGAGTCACCAGAGAGCAGACAGAGAGGTGAGAATTAGCACTTATTATCGTCATCGGAAATCTGACGTGGCACTTCCTTAGATGGCACGTGCACGTGCTACGTTGTACGTACATTACTGTACATATGTAAAAAAAGTGGTAGTTCCGTTATTCAATTGATCGGCTGATTCGGTTCCGGCTTTCTAATCATCCGTCACCAAAAATGTGTATTTATTACCGAATTAATGATGTAATGCTTTCGAGGGGATGGATATTCAGGATCGAATCCACCTGTTTTTCTGAAAACACCAGCCTTTTTGTTCATCCTTACTCGATTTGTAATTGTTTTTCTAGATAGAAATAAAAGGTATCGTTCGAGTTTGCAAAAATTAGGACTAGCTTTTTATTTCTTTATTCATTTATCTGTTTAGATTTTGTTTATTTTGAATTTTTATTCTTCTAAATATATCTGTATTGTTACATGTTGAAATATATGAAAAGGAAATAATCGTTATATCAAAATGAACGCCTGAGTACCGGTGATAAACGTAAAAGGGTAATTATATCATAGAGACGTTTGGAGCGTGTTATTCGATATTCCTAATTTGTTTTGATATAGTCATAATTGCATTTCTCGTGATAATACACCCATGATAACACGTGATGCTTACTGGTTATTAACGTAATTAAAACCGTTACTAATAAATTGAAGTCACGATTATCGTCAGGTTGATTAACATTGGCGAGCTCATTATCTGTTTCTCAGTTATTTCAAATATTGTTTATGATTGATAAGAAATGAAAACACCAGCATGTATGTATATAGCTTTCTCTCTTAAAGAAAGAACTGAAAAATTTTTTAAAAAAAAGAAATATCAACAGACTAATGGAATAACAAGAATGAAAACTAGTGTGAAAATAGAATTACTGAAGGAATATTAAAATTTTTTTTGGTTAAAGAAAAACATAGGCATCACAATAATGTCCTTCGACGTGTAATTCAAAAAACCAACCATAAGTAAGTAATCTGTAAACGATATCCTACAATTACTAATATTGTATAAAGTTGAATTTCAGGCCATTATAGTTCTTTCATTTTGAAAGTTGTAACTTTAGGACCAAACTATTATTTTGTCATCTTTGTCCTAATTTGAGTAGTGCATGAATATTGCAACTTTAACTCAACATGCGAAAAGATGGAAAAAATTGTCCCAACATAAAAAAGCAAGCAACACAATTTCCTATTGTACTTCTTTGTGAGAAATACAATTAATTAAAATGTCATATTCATGGTGCACGTATCATCGTGATTACCACACAACTATAATACTAATATGGTATAACTTTCTTAGCACATGTTAGTGAATCAATGATGTCTCAAGGTTGCCTAACTATATTAGATATCATTTCCGTTTTCCACAAAACTTTGTAATAGGTTCACCTCATACAAACATTAACAAACTATATAATATCTCTCGTGCATGTACAATTTTTTTTCGGTACAAATGAAGAGATATTTTTCAACCATGTATGAATTTCTAAATTTCGACATAACAACATATTTACCTAAGTAGTCCATTTAGTTTTGCGATTTGTTCCGTTTTGATCTCTCATCTTTAATAAAAACTCTAAATACAAGTCAAATTATGTTTGATTGTATTGTTCATGTCCATGGAGGCAGGCTGCCATGTCCAATAATTATAAAGTTTTATCCAACTAAACAAGGAGTTACTCTTTTCTCCTTCTACCTCTATTTCAAAATATAAGTCACTTTAGATTTTACACGTAAATTAAGGAGACAATCATCTACTCCCTCCATTTCAAAATGTAGGTCGTTTTACAAATTCTAGGTAAATTAATGACTAATTTTCCAACTTTACCCTCAATAAATGATGCTAATATATTTTTATTTAGTCTTGTTTATAGTTTCAATGTAATTAATGAGGGTTAAAAAAGATATTTAACACATAAATTAATTGTTAGATGATTGTCTCCTTAGTTTACGTGCCAAGTCTAAAAAGACTTATATTTTGAAATGGAGGGAGTAATAATTAATTTATGTGTTAAAAAATTTATTTTACCTCTCATTAATTACATTGGAACTATAAACAAGATTAAATAAAAATAAAATGACATCATTTATTGAGGGTAAAGTTGAAAAAATAATCATTAATTTGACTAAAATTTGTAAAATGACTTATATTTTGAAAAATCTTTCTAAACCTAAAACGATCTCGAAATTGAAATGGAGGGAGTACCTCCCAAAGCCATGCCGATGAATGGATTAAATTAATGGAGTGTGGTAGAAGACAAAATTATCGCATCTCTAGTGGGCAGATGCGATTTTTGTACTAATTCAAATGCCCATCTTCTTCCATGTAAATACATTTTATGTGAGGATAGAAAATTGTTCAGAGAATATTTCAGAAAACAAGGATTATATTCAACTATTTTACAGATTTTTGGGATCATTAATTATTATTAGTTGCATTAATCGATTTTTTTTTTTGGCATAAAATACTTATGATTAAGACTCTAACTATCAATTTCGGGATCGAATGTCATCACGATTAAGAAAAAACATGAATTAATTTTTTTTTTCAAAAGAATTGATTTCTTTCACGTCGTACCATTTATTTGTACACTTCCACACGTGTGAGGATAATACTGTGCGTATATATGTTTGTTCTAAAGTTAGTATAAACGTACACGTATTTTCCTTCGTGCATGACAACCTTTTTTCTTTTCTTTTCTTTTTTTAATCTTAACAATTTTTAGCACATTGGATTATGACATTTTGTTCATCATATTATGTCTATGGATATATATATTTCTGCATTTATGGTCACAAGTCGAAGATATGCCAACTGTATAGTGGAATATTTTCTGGCATTAGGAGAGTCACATGTAAATAATGCCAATCGTTTCGTTTTGTACGATAAAGAAATTATCTTGATTAAGTTGAATAATATATAGAGCAGCGTCCAACCAAAAAAAAAAAAAAAGAAAAGAAAGAAAGATGAAACAACTATCATGAAATGGGTAATTTTCCTATTTTAGGTTCAATAACATTTTGTCCCTAAGGTTCGGTTAAATGTTGTTGCCGTTTATCGTCTCGAAGTATTCTTCGTCCTGCAGTTATATTGCCAAATTTTAATTTTTTACTCTTGATGGAAAATTTTATTGAAAATAAAATTCAAACAAAAAATATTTTAGGATAAAGGGTGTGTAGTGTGACCAAAATTACCTTGAGCGACAAGTTAATCCAAACGAAATATTTCTATTACTCCCTCCGACCCATAATTATTATCCTGTCTGAATTCTTATTTCTAATTCAAATTGTACTAAAAGTAAAATTTCAAATTGAATAATAATTTTGGGACGGAGGGAGTACAATTTACAAGCAATTGTTTGTTTCGAAATACTTTCAGCGTAGATTAGGCCTTCGACATGGTTTGGTAAGTCATGCGACCTTCGCTCTTGCACAGATTTAATGTTGTTATCTTGTGGGGAAATTCTGAACCATATTTAATTGGTTTCTAGCTCATTTTGAAATGTTTACATTTTAGTAATCTAAACTATTCTAATTTAATCAAATATTTAGGTTAAACTTGAAATCTTTGATATTAGCCCAGTTCGTCTATATTGTCATACCAAACAACAGACAAAGGTCGATGTACGTAGATAGATCCACCGAACCTACAATATTGATTTATTGAGTTCAGCTGTAATTTTCAGTTTTTTTTTTGTTTTTTGTTTTTTGTTTTTTTAAAAAATGGGGAACATATGTGAAGGGGGAGTAAGAAGGGTGAAAATTGGGGGATGGAGGACAAAAGAATATACTTCTTATATCCTATTTTGATAATA